GGCAGCTGCAGTTGTTGGTAAGAATTTCAAAGTTTGAATCATAATATTTTTATATCTAATCTTTCAATTTTCAGGTGCTGCAACTGCTTTTGGATTAATTTCGCTTCTTCCACTCAAAGTGCCAGCATTCAAGCCTTTGATGTACTGCAATGAAGCTGATGTTGAGCAATCGCCCATCAATATTGATGACAAAATTTATACTTGTTCGAACAAAAGTATTTTGATTTCTTTTTGCGACTTCATAAGTGAGAATCAAATTTTCAATGAAGATGATAAATGTGTAAATAGAACCATGGAATGTCATAACAAGCATTCAAATGATGAAATCTTTTGTGACAATGGAACTTTACTTAGTCGATCTTCACTTGTTTGCAATTCCACGACATTTTTGAATGGAACCAAATACAACGAAACGTTGACAATTTTAAATTGTTTCAAAGGAGAAATCAATGCTAAGTTGGCTTCATTTATCCCAACAACTACAACCGAAGAACCATTAACGACTACGACTGAGAAGAATCTTTCTTTGGCTTCAAGGATTCATGTTTTCTTCATGAAAATCATCGGAAAAGAAGAAGAGCTTGAGAAGATCACGACGACAACAACCACAACTACAACAACAGATGATCCTCGATTAGCTTTGAAAGAAGATGATAAGTTGTGGGCTCCCGAGGCGATGACAATTCCACCAGAAACGACACCTGCACCTACTACCACTACTACTGAAGCTCCATATGTGGTAATGGGATGGAGATGGGCAACATTAGAAAATGGTACAATGCTTCGGTTGTATGATAGACCATTGGGACCAGAGGAATTGAGTTATTATGATTTGATGATTAGCTTGGGTTTTCCTCCTTCGACGGATGGTTTATACAAAAAAATTCGGATTACAACTGAATCTACTATGGAAGGAACGACGACAACTCCAACTCTATTTCTTGCTAAAGTTTACTCTGAAGGTCCTTATGTGATGATGAAGCCTTCAAGAAATAATGTGACAAACTTTGTAGAACTAAGCAAGTTGAACATGGAAGAATATTTAACTTACAAGGCTGCCAAAATGTTACGAAAAGAATATTTTTACGATGACATTTATAAGAAGATTCCTTTTACTGCAACTACTGCAAGGAATGAGAATGATAATTAAATGTTTCGAACATTTTAAGTTATTAAAGATGTAATCATTAATTGTTTTAATACACTTTTTCGTTTCAATTCTAAATTCTTTTACTTTTTTTTGTACTTTGCGTATTTCGTTTCTGTGTTCAAATGCTTTTTACTTTAAATATCTTCTCTCATTTTTTATAAAATATTCGACTGGTATTTAAAGCAAATCAAAATAAAATTTCTCTCAGTCTTCTTTATTCATTTAAACAGACAAGTTTATTAAAAAAATCGAACAGAAATATTTGATAACGTTTCAGAATTTCTGAGAAAAAATGAAAACAAACTTTCAACGTATTTTATTTGTTGTAATTTTGTTAATTAATGAATACGAATGCAAAGGAGGAAGGGGAGGATTTGGTCGTGGTGGTGGCTTTTCCAGATCAAAACCATCTTCATCATCAAGTTGGTTCTCTAAACCAAGCTACAGTAGCAGACCTGCACCATCTCCATCGTATTCTTCAAATAAGCCAGCTCCTTCTTATGGTTGGAATGTCAACAAACCTAGTGGACCACCCCCTGCCTACCCGGGACTTGGCAATCGACCAGTAAAATACGGAAATTCCCCGCCATCATATTCTCCCAGTTATTCACATCCTCCATCATATTATAGTCCCAGCAACACACGATATTCAAGTTACAATTCTCATCCAAATTATGGATCGACATTTGGATCCACGGGTCTTCGAGGCAACACATACATCCATAACAATTATTATGGATCTCATTCAGGCGGATCACCGTTCTTGACCAATGCTTTATTTTATGGAGCTGGGATGCATCATGGATATTCATGGGGAAGTCACAATTCTTATCGCCATAGGTCATGGTCCGATGAAGATGATAAGAGATGGCGAATGACAACAAAAGGTCCATATTTTGAGAATAAAGTTCCAGGATCTGAAAAAAATTTACCAGCAGCTGCAGTTGTTGGTAAGAATTTCAAAGTTTGAATCTTAATATTTTTATATCTAATCTTTCAATTTTCAGGTGCTGCAACTGCTTTTGGGTTAATTTCGCTTCTTCCACTCAATGTTCCAGCATTCAAGCCTTTGATGTACTGCAATGGAACTGAATTTGCACAATCACCCATCAACATCGACGACAAAATTTACAGATGCTCGAACAAAAGTATTTTGATTTCTTTTTGCGACTTCATAAGTGAGAATCAAATTTTCAATGAAGATGATAAATGTGTAAATAGAACCATGGAATGTCATAACAAGCATTCAAATGATGAAATCTTTTGTGACAATGGAACTTTACTTAGTCGATCTTCACTTGTTTGCAATTCCACGACATTTTTGAATGGAACCAAAAACAACGAAACGTTGACAATTTTAAATTGTTTCAAAGGAGAAATCAATGCTAAGTTGGCTTCATTTATCCCAACAACTACAACTGAAGAACCATCAACGACTACGACTGAGAAAAATCTTTCTTTGCCTTCAAGGATTCATGTTTTCTTCATGAAAATCATCGGAAAGGAAGAAGCGCTTAAGAAGATCACAACGACAAGCACCACAACTACAACAACAGATGATCCTCGGCTAGCTTTGAAAGAAGATGATAAGTTGTGGGCTCCCGAAGCGATGACAATTCCACCCACCACTACTACTGAAGCACCATATGTGATAATGAAAAGATGGATAGGAGGTAGAACCTTACCTTCGTATGATAAACCAGCGACATCAGAAGAAGTGAGGGAATTTACAAAGATGCATAACATGGGTAAAGGTCACTGGATGGACTATCATTTCTACACAAAGGTTCTGATTACAACTGAATCTACTGTGGAAGAAACGACAACAATTGCAACTCCATTAATAACTGAAGTTTACTCTGGAGGTCCTTACGTGATGATGAAAGTTTCAGAAAATAAATTACTTGAATTGAATACCAAAGAATATTTAGAATACAAAGTGTCGAAAGTGTTAGGAAAAGAATATTTTTATGAAGATAATTATGTAAAGGTTCCTTTCAATAATGCAACTACTCCAAGTTATGATAATAAAGAATAAGTTTTCTAACCTTATGACTTCTGTCATGCCATGTCAACATTTAATAAAAAATAACTTTTACAAGTTCCCCAAAATTATTTAAAATGTATGATGATTCATTGTTCCAATTAATAATGTGATTTGTCATAACCAGATATTTTATTTGTCATGACTTGGAAGAAACTCAATTTTCAAAATCAGCATTTTTCATAAATATTCTCGTTTAAGAAACCTTAAGATACGTTTTATAGCAAAAGAAAAAACTTTGTTCAAAATTAATGGAATTTTCCGCACATATGTTACATCTCATGAGAATTTAGGAAATGTTATCGATGTTGTATTAGGCATTGACTCATGAGTAAGCTTCCTTCCGATGAAGGGAAAAGAAAGAAAAAGCATTTTTGTTACGAATGTCTTATTTGATTAATCTCTTCGTTTGAAATGAAGCATACTGACTGATGTTAAGTTTATTTAAGCATTCGTCAAGACGTATGAAACTTTCATATATGAAATCGTCTAAAGTCAACATGAAATGGCAAATGCTTTAAAGCGAACATTCTTTGAATTGAATTCACGGTTCGTTTGCATTGCAAACGAGTCAATTTACTGTTAATCAAACAATTTTAAAATTGATTGAAATGTTATGCTTGAATGATAAGCTTCTTCAGTGTCGTCAATTAATTTTAATTTGAATCTCTCACTTGTAAACGTTTGTTGTTAAAATGAGGGTGAGAAATTTCAATCAAGAAATTTTATAAATTTCCTATCTTCAATCAGCACATCAATATTCAGTGTAGTGTAGAAATGTATAGAGAATACGTTGATTTAAGCATGAAAGGAGCTTTTTTTAGAACAGCATGAAGCAAAGTGGTTTTAAATTTAAGTAAATTGAACATTCTCATTTTCTAACTCGCTCATATCTAATAAAGAAAAACTCCTTTCTTCAAGAACGAGAGCTGCTTTCACATTCAATTCCCATTGTCATTATCACCCAGTCTAAAGAAACATAACACCATAAAAAAAGGTTTTTATTGCTCTCTTAACAACTCGAAAATTGAACTTTCCACCATTGTTATGTCAGACATGAATTTCCTTTCCATCGATTTGCAAGTTTTCCTTCTTATGAAATATTTTATAGCAGAAAATATTCTTCAATATTTGACGTCATGAAAAGTGGAACAGAAATTTCATTATAAACTAGAAAAACAAATTCAAAGATTTATTTAGATTTAACTATCTAAATTGCATTGATAGATATAAAAAATGAACATCATTTGATATTATGAGTCAAGAAGTTCATTCCAAAGTTTTAAGGATTTAAAATATTTATTTTTGCTAGATGAATTATTTTTTTTATCATATTGAAAATCTCGTCAGTTCCAGAATATGATAAAAAAGAAAACAAACTGAGAGATTTGAGACAACGTTTTCTCTCTAATCAGCATAATTGTTTATTTCATCTTTGTTCTTTACGTACAATAAAATTTTTTATAGTTACAGGGCTGTTAAATAATCACGAACTAGGTGAGAAACATAAACATTTGCAAATTTAATGCTTTTCAAAACTTATTAACTTACTTTACTTAATTAACTAATTAACTTCCTTATCTACAACTTGGACACGATCTCGTGATTTGTTTGAATATGTGATTCAACTTCATTTGAAGTATAAAAGAAATCATTTCCTTTAGCAAACTTGAGGACTAAAGTTTGAAAGTTTCTTAAAATGAAAATTTTAATCGTTGGCGTTTTGCTTATCTTCATAAGCTTGGACACTGTGAAAGCTGGTGGAGATCCCACAGATAGTAAGAATAAAATTTTTCTAACACCTTCAGTCATTGACATAATCTTATCTCGCGTAGTTTGCCTTCTACCACAAGTCGTAGGACCTTGCAGAGGTGCATTCCAAAGATGGTACTATGATGCGACTACTCAAGAATGTTCTATATTCATATATGGAGGATGTCTAGGAAATGCAAACAATTTCTCGACAGAGGAAGAATGTTATGGAACGTGTTGCACTGAAGTATCTGATGAATCTTCGCCACCAATGTCTGCATCAGCGTAAATTGAATTTTTTTGATGCACATTTAACTTGAAGTATTTTAATTTCTGAAATTTTTTTTCATTTAAAATATTACAGTAAAAATTGAAAATTTAGTTAATATTCTCTGTTTTTATTTATTCGTTCCTCGGATTAATATTTATGTATGCAGATATAAAACAACAAATGTTACTTTTCTTGATTCAAAATTTGTTAAAGAAATTAAATCAA